ACAAATTTGCTACAGGAAGGCCTCTTGCTCGCACATATGGCAAATCCGGGTTGAAGAGAACCCTGTCCACAAACAGAAGGCTTTGCGAAGCCACACCCAGTCTCCTTTGCATCCGAGCCAGGCCATGTGAAAGTGGTACGTCGCTCCATCGTGGACAACCTTCGCTGCTGATCAACATTTGCAGGCCACAGCTTGGATTTGCAATGCCGGCCTACATGTGGGTAGTTCCTATACAACTTGGGTCCGATTTAGGTGCCCCTAAATAATAGGCGCCGTATTACTATTATAATCGAATACATGGTCTATAACTGAAAGGGGCCCAAAATAATTTGCCAAACAATCCGTATACTCAGTGCGCTGGAGGCACATCTAAACCATCGTGGAAAAGTAATGCGCAGTCAGTGGCAAGAGTTTCCAGCAGGCGGAAAATCGTGGTGTCACCGTTATAGCAGCGTGCAGGTATGAGGGTATAGAGGAGCCGCGAACAGAAGGAATGCCTGGAAAGTCCAAGCCAATCTAGTTCACGTGATGAAAAGACTGCTCACATAAGGTATATTTCGAACCCAAACAAATTGAAGATTGTCCTGACTAGACACCCGCTCTCGTTGAGCCGCTGCTTACCAAAATGACTGAACAGCCCCTGGAAGCTGAGAATCATCACAGGTTGTTTCCCGCGTCCTCTGCCCTCGTCGCCGTGCAGAAAATAAGGCAAGGTGCATTCCCTATCCAGATTCTGCTCGAAAGTTGGGTGCGAAGGGTCCACCCTTTCATAGAAGTCCCAAAATTCCTTCAGGTCGTGCTTCCATTTGTCAATGTGGGAGATGTGGTGCCCCTGCAAAAGTAGAGAACCTCCCTGCTCCTGCATGATGTAGTGCAACCAGCTGGACAGTGGTATCACAGGCCAAGGAATGTTGAGAAGTTTTCGCGTTCGGGCATGCCGGATGCTGATAGAGGTATGTTTGATCTCCACTTGTAGCGTGTATCGAGGACTGGAAAGCATTCGGTGCAAATTTCTGCAAATGTTGCCTTCGGAAGAGTTTGCACATTTGGCCAGGCGTTGTAAAATCGGGTCGCGAAGCCCTGTCAGGGGCAGGAAATTGCTAAATGAAGCCTAGAAAACCTTCACTAACCACATTATGTAACACAAGCAGAGGCCTCGCTTCTGAAACTTCTTGTTGGCTTTCCAGGCTAGAC